CTCGTCGAGTACTATATGCCAATAAAAAATCACGTTGATTGAATATCAATAACTATGTGATCAAAACAGTTTTTTGTCAACCGTTAATTTGTTTATCGTCCATTTTTTAGACAAAACTGATTTGATCACGTAGCTATCGATATCCGATCAATGTGATTTTTGACAGGCATATAGTACTCAACGAGTTTTACACATTGAACGGTTCAAATTATCAAAACAAGACCCGTGATAAATTCCTATAAACCCAATAATACTATTCAATCCGATTTCAGACTGGACACAAACCAAACCCTTTGTAATATATTTGTACAATAATTATAATGTAAAATCTTGTAATGGAGAACTGACCCTGAGCACTAAAATAAAAACATATAACTCGCCCAATTAATTAAATTCCAATTTGTTCAACCGTTTGAATTTTATACCATTGATTCTTGATATTTTTCTAGGCTTCATCATTATACAATTGAAACCAAAATGGACCCACCAGTGAGGTGGATAGTTGGGCTTTCATTGATTTTGATTTCTAGTGGGGAGGTTGGAATAAATTTTGACCATTTCCAAAGGATAATTACCCATCCCCGTGACGGACTAAAACTAAGTTACCACCAACGACGTTTGATGATTTTGATCCAATCACGTTTTGGGATTGACGTAGCTAGGTAACAGACGCTGCCGGTGTCGTCTTCCCAAATCCCTAATTGATTCTTTGGTGGAATGTTTGACTTTTCGTCTGGACAGACCACGTGGACGCCTGACAGCTGTATGTAAAATGACCATATTATCCGCCAACCATTTCTAAAAACAACAATGATTCATCCCCTTTTCCTTCCACTCCTTTGACTCCCTCTCTCTCTCATTGGTTACATTTTCTTTTTCTTTTTCTTTTTTTTCCTGCTCCTCCAATCACCACCCGCCACGTGGCAAAGGAGTGAGGGGGTGACCCCCAAAAGGGAGTCCCAAGCATTATTCTTATAAAAATTTAGGTGGTGTTTGGTTTTTATTTTTGATTAAATAATCACAAAAGGATAAAAAAAAGTCAAAAAATCACAAAAAAAAAAAAACAAAAAAAAATGCACCATTCCAAAGCTAAAAAGCCAAAAAAGCCAAACAAAAATACCAAACGACTAAAAAAGTCACAGGCTAAAAAAGTCAAAAAAGTCAAAAACCTCTCTCTCTCCACCAAGGATCTTCTAGAGTGAAATTTTTCTAAAGTTTCCTAGAGTGCTCCATTGTGTGGTTGAGATTCACTGGCAAGTCACATCAGAAAAATTGATGTGACTTGCCAATAAATCTCAACCACACAATGGAGCACTCTAGGAAACTTTAGAAAAAAATCACTCTAGAGGATCCTTGCTCCTCTCTCTCATTGGTTACATTTTCTTTTTCTTTTTCTTTTTTTTCCTACTCCTCCAATCACCACCCGCCACGTGGCAAAGGGGTGAGGGGGTGACCCCAAAAGGGGGTCCCAAACATTATTCTTATAAAAATTTAGGTGGTGTTTGGTTTTTATTTTTGATTAAATAATCACAAAAGGATAAAAAAAAGTCAAAAAATCACAAAAAATGAAAAATCACAAAAAGATAAAAAAAAAATCTACTATTTCAAAACTAAAAAAATCAAAAAAGCCAATTAAAAGAATGCCAAACGAATAAAAAAATCCTAAGCTAAAAAAATTTAAAAAATCAAAAAATTAACTAAAAAAGTTATTGTCAAACAAAAGGTTAGAATTTTGTTTTTGTACTTTTTTTTATAGATGAAAGTCAATTTGTTTTTAGATTAACTTTCTACTTCAACTCACCCATGGCCACTTCCTTGGGACAAGTCTGTAAGAAAGTTAGACGGGTAAATTAAGGTTTATTTTAGGAAGTTAGTTGAAAATTAATTTTTTTATTTTTTTAAAAAAATATATAAAAAAATAAAAAAATAATATAACTCAAAATATACTAAAAATCAAAGACTTTTAGACAAATTTCCAAGGTAGGGCTAAGTTAGACCTAATCAAAATTATATTTCTTTCTCATGTCCACCTTTAGTACAGTAGCATTTTTTTTTTTATTTTTTTTGACATTCTAGAAAGGAAAAAAAACACAAAAGTTAAAGGTGAATACGTTTGGCAAATTACTAAGAGACTTACCTTTCTTAGGGCATTTACAGTAGACTAGTTAAATAGTGTCTTAGTGTTAGTAGTCAAAATTTTAGCTAGTCATAATAACTTTTGGGTTCACAATGGAAATGTTAACGGGTCTATTAGTGTCATGTGTTAGTGCTAGTTGTTAAGTTGTCTGTTAACTATGACTGACGTTTTAGCCAGCAAGAGAGAGAAAGGGAGGACATGGGAAGTGATGTGGATCATCCGGCTGGATGTTCGGCCGGTCGTCTCCCTGAAAGTCCGGTCGGTCTTTTCCCTTGGACGTCTGGACCCTTCAAGAAAAAAAAGAAAAAAATTGTCGTTGACCGGTTGGCCCGCCAGACGTCCGGCCCAAGTCCTTCGGACCCTTTCTTGCTCTCATCTTCAGCAAAGCTTCCATGGAGAGAGAGACAGAGAGAGCGCCTTCCATAGAGGATTTATTTATTTATTATTTATTATATATATATATATATATATGTACACTTAACACACATGCTAACACACACCTTAATACATCCATTGCATCACCACTTACTCTCTAAAATTAACAAACTCTTAACACACCTTAACACACATATTTAAGGCCCACTTCCACTTTTATCATTTTTTGTCATATAACACACTTTAACAAATAATTTTAACCATTTCATTGTGGGTGTTCTTATTCTTTGTGGACATGGTGTCACTGACGTGTTTGATATATAATGATAATTATTGTGCAATTTGTGGGACTTGTTTCGGATTTTATTTTGATAATCTGAACCGTTCAAATTTTAGAGAATATCAAGAAGAACATATCTGTAAAAAATTAAATTAATCAGATATCGTTAATCTCTTCATCAAAGTATATTCATATATTAAAAAAATAAATATGTATGCATCAAATTAGATACAAATATGATTTCATAAAGTGGATTTTGATGTCCAATTAAATATTTTGTTACAAATATTTTTTTTTTTGATATTTTTTAAAATTTAAACAATTTAAATTATTAAAATAAAACTCAAATGAGTCTCATGATCGTACAACAGTCACTGAACATGGCAGTGATCCCAAATCATTGTTTGCATGAATTACGTTTTTACTCTTTCAGCACTTGCCACCAAAAACAAAAGAAATATTCAGCAGAGAAGATTGACTTTTTTTATTACAAAAGTAAAAAGGTTATTTAAAAAGTGTTTCTCCGCCTCTTTTGTTATTTGTGCTAGGATTATGTAAAATATTTCTTAATTTGTTAAAATTGTACCGATCTATATCAATTTATATCATTTTAATTATTACTTGTGATTTAGATTTTAAAATTTATAATTTGCTAATCGAATCATTCTGCTCCGTTGTAATTAATATATATATATATATATATATATTTTTAATTTCTAATGAAATATTAATGTAAAAATGAGCGTGAGACAGATTTAAGATATGAAATTTATTAAAAATTAGTCGTTATATATATAAAACATATTATGTAAAATTATTTTGTATTATATATCTAAAAAATATTATACAAATTAGTGTTATATATTATACAAATGTATAATAATTAGTTAGAATATTTTTCAATTCGTCAAAAACCGCTCAAATCGCAATTTGTCAATCCACTAATCTGTTAATTTGTCATTCAATTTATAATTTTACTCTCAAACTATCAGAATCGTACCGTGCACACCTCTGCTAGCTAGTATAAAAACAATGATGTGCCAAGAAGTGTGAATTGATGTATCCAAGAAAATATATTGTACAGTTGTAACGTATTTTAACTAGTATATTTGAAAATAAGTTATTTGATATTTTCCCATTTTATTGAGTTAATACTTGTGTGTAGGTTATCCGAGAGTGAATGCTATTTGTTAGTTTGTCAAAGTTTATTTTCCTTTAGACTATTTTATTTTCTCAATATTTTTTTAACATGTAAGTGACAATGTCTATGTTGATCCTAGTTAAAGTCTTTAGTTAAAAAAATGTTATGGATCCTAAATAATCTATCCAATTTTTTATCAAATCTTTCACTTGTGAACCCACATACCATCACTCTTTTGGTTAATTGTTTCTTGTAAACAATAACATGTTTGTTGGTCAATGAAGTGTGAAGCTACCTAAATTGAATGGGAACATTATTTTCTGATGTACCAAAAAAAAAAGGAATGGGAATAGCATAAAATTTTCCACCTATTATAAGAGATTGAGGTATATCAGACCATTAATAAATGGAAAAATCTATTACAAATTAAAAAAAATAAAATTATATTAGTTATATTGGACTAGTTGTACTTGTATCTGGTATAGTTCTCACTTATACTTTCCTAATTCGCAATTAATTTCTCTAATTTTTATTATTAATTGATTTTTTTTAAAATAAAGATTTATAGTCTAAAAAAATGTTAATGGGGTTAGTGAAATTATAAAATAACCTTTAGGTATTTCATATTTAAACATAAAACACTAATGTTAAATAATTCAACTATCGTCTTTTTTACTAATGAACGTATCTAAATATCATTATCCTTTCAATTTGTGTAGTATACAAACATAAAATATGAGTGTTGAGATGCAAATAATGTTTTGGCATAAGAATAATAGAGGATAAAATAGATGTTTAAATGTAAAACTAATTACATCATCATTTTAAAATTATTTGACTAACTATACGTGTTAAAATATCTATGAATTTGATATTTCAAGAAACTACAATATAATTATAAAATTATACAAGTACAACTAATTATGGGAGGTTGGTGTGCTTACCCTAAAATAAATGAATAAATACAAGAAAAAAAAAAAAGAAAAATGTAAAATGGGGCAAGGGTGCTATGGTCAATTCGTGAAGCGTGGGTGACTTTTCAAAAATGACCTGTGTTGCAATATTGAAACCCATCCTCAAAAGATCAAAGCAAAGCTCTCTCTCACACAATTCATTCATCATTCCTTACCTTCTCTTCTGCACAAAGATTTTGTGCAGACATGGGTATGAGAAACAATCCATGGGTGTTTCTCTCTGTTGTTATCTTCCTCTGCTTCTCTTTCAACACCGATCTCTGTTTCGGAGCTAGCACCATCACTGCAAACCAATCTCTGTCTGGAGACCAAACCATCGTCTCCGATGGTGGAATCTTCAAATTGGGTTTCTACAATCCAGGTAACTCTTCCAACTACTACATATGTATGTGGTATGTTCAAGTCTCTACCTTAACTGTAGTTTGGGTAGCAAACACACAAAAACCCATCTCTAATAGGTACTCTTCAGAGCTCAAAATCAGTAACGGTAACTTAGTTCTTCTCAACGAGTCCCAAATCCCAATTTGGTCCACAAATCAGACCTCAATCACTTCGAATTCTGTTGTGGCTGTTCTTCTTGATAATGGGAATTTGGTTTTGAGAGAAAGCCCCATTTCAACTCAGCCAATTTGGCAGAGTTTTGATCACCCTGTTCATACATGGTTACCTGGTAGCAAAATTGCATATAACAAGATCACAAACACACAGCAACAACTCACTTCATGGAAGAACATAGAAGACCCATCACCGGGACCGTATGCTATGCATCTTGACGCGAATAACAGCCAGTATTTGATTATGTGGAATGGGTCTGAGAGGTATTGGACTAGTGGGCCTTGGAATGGTCAGATTTTCAGCTTAGTACCTGAAATGAGGGCCAATTATATCTTCAATTTCAGCTATGTGGACAACGAGAATGAGAGTTACTTCACATATTCTCTGTATAATCCTGCGATTATTTCGAGGTTTCTTATGGATGTTTCGGGGCAAGTCAAGATGCTCACTTGGTTGGAAGGAACGAAGGAATGGAACTTGTTTTGGGCTCAGCCGAGACAGCAATGTGAGGTTTACGCTTATTGCGGGGCATTTGGGACCTGCAATGAGAATACTCTTCCATTCTGTAATTGTTTGCAAGGTTTTCATGAATCGAATGTGAGTGATTGGAATCTGAGTGATTATTCTGCTGGGTGTGTGAGGAATACTCCATTACAGCAGTGTGGGAATACGAGCGTGGTGAACGGACAGAGAGATAGGTTTTGGGAATATTCAAACATGAGATTGCCTGAATATCCTCAGTCTCTGTCTGTTGGAAGCAATGTGGAATGTGAATCTGCGTGCTTGAATAACTGTTCTTGCACTGCTTATGCTTATGGAAGCGATGGATGTTCAATTTGGACTGTGAACCTCTTGAATCTGCAACAACTCTCTGGAAACGATGGTAGTGGGAAAACTCTTTATCTCAGACTCGCTGCTTCTGAGTTTCCAGTTGCGAAAAACAATAAGGGGGCTATCATTGGTCCTGTTGCAGGTTCAGTTGGAGGAGTATTGCTCTTGGGCCTTGTTTTTGCTTTTGTATGGAAGTGGCAAAGAAGATTTGTTGCAAAAACAAAAGCAGTAGAGGGTTCGTTGGTTGCATTTGCATACAAAGATTTGCAAAATGCAACAAAAAATTTCTCTGAGAAATTGGGGGGAGGGGGATTTGGTTCTGTTTTCAAAGGGACATTGCCAAATTCAAGTGTCATAGCGGTGAAGAAGCTTGAAAGCATTAGTCAAGGGGAGAAGCAATTCCGAACAGAAGTCAGCACAATTGGAACTATCCAACACGTCAACCTTGTTCGGCTTCGTGGGTTTTGCTCTGAAGGTAGTAAGAGGTTGTTGGTGTATGATTACATGCAAAACAGTTCCTTGGATGCCCATCTTTTCAACGAAAAGGAGTCAAAGATTTTTGATTGGCAAACTCGGTACCAAATTGCACTTGGGACAGCCCGGGGGTTGGCTTATCTTCATGAAAAGTGCCGGGATTGCATCATACATTGCGACATAAAGCCCGAAAACATACTCTTAGACGCCGAGTTCTGTCCCAAAGTAGCGGATTTCGGTCTGGCAAAGCTCATGGGACGTGAATTCAGCAGGGTTCTGACAACCATGAGAGGGACACGAGGCTATCTTGCACCAGAGTGGATTTCAGGGGTCGCCATAACAGCCAAAGCCGATGTTTACAGCTACGGTATGATGCTCTTTGAACTTGTATCAGGAAGGAGAAACTCCGAGCAATCTCAAGACGGGAAAGTAAGATTCTTCCCAACATGGGCTGCTAGTGTAGTCATAGAGGGAGGCGATATACTAGACCTATTGGACCCAAAGTTGGGTCGAAATGCTGACAGTGAAGAGCTAAAGAAGATTTGTAGAGTCGCTGCTTGGTGCATCCAAGACAATGAAAATCATAGGCCGACAATGGGTCAGATAGTTCAGATCCTCGAAGGGGTTCTGGATGTGAATCCACCTCCGATTCCACGATCTCTTCAAGCATTTGTTGACAACCAGGAACATATTGTTTTCTTCACAGAGTCTGATGAGAGTTCACAAGCACTGAGCAATCCCTCAAGCTCTGATCAGAGTAAGAGCACTACTTCAACAATGAGGTCCTAGTTCTGAAGACAATAATAAGAATGTGGTGAAACACTTGTGTTGTCTACTTGCTTAAGTTTAGTAGTGTAAGGCTTGTTTTGTTATTCTCTGTTTCCACTGTTTTTGTTGTCTATAAATATTAGTGGTTAAATTTTAGTAAATTTATTGTAGCAATGTGTAAAATAACCTCTTTGAGAGACATACAAGACTAGAAAAAATTGGAGACTTGCAGTATTTATTTTTCTTGATGACAAAGCTTCATCTTTTTTAAATTGATAGCTGTAAATCAAGTATTAAGCATTTGAATTAAAAGATAATAAAACAACGTCAAAAACTTCATTGCTTCTAACTGCAAAAATGATTCGTAGCTCGAAAGAAATGAGCTCGAATGGCCCGAAAATGCCTCTATCAGTTTCCTCTTCTCTTCTCTCCTCTCTATCTCTATCTATGTTTCCTCTCCTCTTCTCTGTTTCATTCAACTGTACTCATACATACATGAATAGAATGCAAAAAGTGAAATTGGGACTAGAAAGTAATGGAAATGAGAAGAAGCTCAAGATCTGAAGAGAAATTGGGACCACAAAAGAACTTCCTCTCTCTTTCTCTTTCTCTTCCTCTCTCTTCTATGCTTTCTCTTCTTCTCTCTTCTTTGCCTGTGTTTCAGAGATCCAATAGGAAAAAAAATATAAAAAATAAAAAATAATAATCTGTGAGTTTGGTATTTGATTTGGTTTTGATTTTAGATTTGATTTTGATTTTGTTAAACTGTGGGTTTGGTTTTTGATTTGGTTTTGATTTTGATTTTAGATTTTGATTTTGATTTTGTTAAACTATGGGTTTGGTTTTGGATTTGGATTTGGATTTGGTTTTGATTTTAGATGTGATTTTAGATTTAGATTTAGATTTTGTTAAACTGCTGTTAAAGAAGAAGAGATGGGTTTTGTTAAACTTCTTTCTCTAATTTTTCAGTAGGGGGAACGAATAAGAGAAGGAAGGAACGGAGACTAGGGCCAAGTTTGACAAGTTTGTCAAAAAGTTATTCAAAAAGTTAAAAAGTTAAAAAGTTATCACTATTCACCAAAAGTCAAAAATTACGACTGCACAACTCCTAATCCTAATTTTTCCTTACATACTAATTTATATAATTTTTTAATACACATTTTTCATAAAAAGTCAAAAAGTTAATCCAAACATTCATATTTTTTTTCTCAATTTTTTAGTCTAAAAAGACAAAAAGTACACTTATTTAGAACATTCCAAACAACCCCTAAAAGAAAAAAAGTAAAAAAAGAAAAAAGAAAAAATTGTTTTTGACATCCCGAGTCATTCGGACCAAAAGCCATTCGAGCTACTAGCAGAACTCCTTCTATCTGATTCCCATCTCTCCTCCGCTCCCTATCCCACTTCTCTTTATCTGCATGACATGACCACCTCAATTCCATTGAACTCCATTTTCATCAGTCCAAAACAATTTCAATCATCATTTAAAACAAGAAGGAAGATAGAGAGGGAATTTGAGTTTATTTTCGAAGAGAAATTGAAGGATTTTATTATTATATTAACACCCACGTGTGCAGGTTTGCCATTAGGAAGGGACTGACTTTTTAATTTATTATTCTTTTTTTAATCTTCAAAATTTTCTGTTGTGCAAGTGTAAACTCCAATAACAAATAGGATGGTTCTAAAAAATTGAATTTACTTTTCGGAAGATTAATTTTTTTTATTTTTAGTGATTTTTCTTAATATTTTATGTAATTTTTTTATCTTCTAGATACACCTAATCTAAATACATTTAAAAAGTAAAATATTTTGTGAGTTTTTTTTTTAAAAAAAAAATCACCAAATACAGAAAATATAAAAAATTAATATATTTTCATATTTTGTTATATTCAACGAATTTTTAAAAAAAATTATACAATTTTTGTACTTTTTAAGTATATTAAGATTAAGTGAATTTAAAAAAAATTAAAAAAAATTGATTAAAATATTTTAAAAAATTATTGAAAATATAAAAATACGAATTGGAAATTCAAAAAATTATTTTTGAAAATTGGAAACTAAATCAGTTGTGGTTTAAAGATAAAATAGTGAGTTTCATATAAGGGTTTCTAAAGAAAGAAAAACCTTAATGTGTTTGATTTGAGGATTTGATGATGAATTTGAAAAGAAAAATGAGAAAAGTATGTGTTTGATTTGAGGATTTGATGATGAATTTGAAAAGAAAAATGAGAAAAGTATGTGAAATGTGAATAAAATATACTTACATTTCATCTAATTTTACACACATTTTCCCTTTTTCTTTCCTTTTCCAAATCCCTCCTAAATTCCCCAACCAAATACATCGAGAGAGAAGTGATGAGGGAGGTAGAGAGAGGAGACGTGGCCATGGGCTTTCATGTTGGGTATGCAAACAACATTTAACAGAAAACTTGGAGGCAGGGGACAGCCCCCCACGACGCACGCTTTATAAATGGCCTAGTTTGAGAAGTTGACTATTTTAGTTGATTATTTTAGTTTTTGACTATTTCAGTAGGCTAGTTTGGGAAGATGGTTGGATTTTTTTATAGTTGGATGTGATATTTGTTAGAGAAAAATGAAATGATTATGAATTTGATATGACATTTTGTCTTATTGACTATTTTGGCGTATTTTAACTTTTTGTGGAGGTTAAAATGGTTGAAAAAAATATGAAAATTATGCATCTGTATTATATTGAATTAAATTGAATACAATAAGAGAGCTTGTATTTATAGGCTGAACACAAACCTAGATAAGTATAGAAGGAGATAGAGATAGAGAGAGATAGAGATAGAGATACAAGAAGATAGAGATAGAGATAGAAATAGAGATAAGCTATATCTATAATACATATACATTAACAGCCCCCCTCAAACTCAAGATGGATAAGCATCAACCAACTTGAGTTTGGAAACTAAATCAAATAAATGACTAGGAGGATAAGCCTTGGTGAAAATATCAGTAGGTTGATCAGCAGAAGAAATAGGAAGAAGATGAATAGTGCCACCTACAATATGTTGTCGAATGAAATGACAATCAATCTCAATATGTTTGGTGCGATCATGGAAAACATCATTATGAGCAAGCTGAATGGCACTCTGATTGTCACAATAGAGAGAGGTAGCATCAAGGGAAGAAACACTCATATCAGCAAGGAGCTAGCGAAGCCATAAAAGTTCCTGAGTAGTATCAGCAAGAGCGCGGTATTCAACTTCAGTACTAGAGCAAGCAGTGAGGGACTATATCTTGCTGCGCCAAGTAAGAAGAGAATCTCCTAAGAAGAAACAGAAACCCATGGTTGAGCTTTGATCAGTAGGATCCCCAGCCCAATCAGCATCAGAAAAGGCACGAAGCTCGAGAGAAAAGTGAGCAAAGTAGTAGATTCCATAGGACATAGTGCCTTTAAGGTAGCGAAGTATACGAAGTAGAGTAGTGTAATGCAGAGTACGGGGAGTCGACATGTATTGAATAACAAGATGGACAGCATAGGCAATATCAGGACGAGTCACAGTGAGGTAGACAAGACTACCGACCAGTTGGCAATAAAGAGTAGCATTAAAGAGAAGATCCCCGTCTAGAGAAGTGAAATGAGTCTGAGGATCAATAGGAGTAAAGATAGTCTTGCAATCGATAAAACCAGCACGTGCCAGAAGATCGGATGCATATTTGGCTTATGACAAATAATAATCACTGGAATCATGAGAGATTTCAAGCCCTAAGAAAATTAAGAGCACCAAGGTCCTTCATCTCAAACTGATGATTGAGAAATTGTTTGAGGCTAAGAATACTAGTCATATCATCACCGGTGATAATCATATCATCCACGTAAAGAAGAAGAAAAGTGGTGCCATGAGGAGTGGTTCGAACAAATAAAGCAGAGTCATATGAGCTGGAGGTGAAGCTGAAGTCATGGATGATGGAACTGAATTTTGCAAACCAAGCTCGTGGGGCTTGCTTGAGACTATAGAGAGCATGCTGTAGTTTGCAAACCTTATGAGCTGGATAAGCAGACCCAAGAGGAGGTTGCATGTAGACTTCCTTAAGAAGATCACCATTAAGGAAGGCATTTTTGACATCCATCTGAAAGAGATCCCAATGGCGAGCAGCAACAATAGTAAGTAAGCTACGCACAGAGGTAAGCCGAGCAACCGGAGCTAAAGTCTCCTCATAATCAATGCCATATTCCTGGGTAAAGCCTTTTGCAACAAGACGGACTTTGTAGCTCTCAATAGAGCCATCAGAATGTGTCTTGATTTTGTATACCCATCTACAGCCAATTACAGTCTTTCTAGGAGGAAGATCAATAACATCCCAGGTATGAATTTTATCTAAAACCTGTAATTCATCAGTCATAGCTTGCTGCCAAAGAGGATTAGTACAAGCCTCAAGATAGGAGATAGGTTCATAAATAGAAAAGACAATAGACCCGACAATATAATCATGAAGATGAACATGTGGTTGAGTTACCCGATGTAGACGACCGATGGGAGGAGGATCTGGTAGGGTTATAAGAGACTCAATGGAACCATCAAAGGGAGCAGTCAGGACAGGATCAGGTGTAGACAAATGTGTCTTTAGAGAGAAGGAGCATGCATCAAAGGCATTAGAGAAGAGATTGATAGATGGATTAGTAAACAGAATGGAAGTAGAAGATGATGATAAATGGAACGAGGATAAGGATGAAAACATTTTACGCTCCCAGAAAACCACATGACGAGAGACACGAAGACGTTTAGAGATAGGATTCCAGCCACGATAGCCTTTATGTTCAATATCATACCCAAGAAAGCAACAAAGATGAGAACGGGGTTCAAGTTTGGTGTGTTCGTGAGGTTGGAGGAGAACAAAGCATACAGACCCAAAAACCCGAAGATTTGTGTATGGAAGACTAATGCCATGTAAACGTGCATAAGGAGTTCGGTTATGGATAGTAGGAGTGGGAATACAATTGATAGTGTAGACAGCAGTAAGAGCAGCTTCCCTTAAAAAATATTCAGGACACGAAGAAGAGATACGAAAGGCTCGAGTGGTGTCAAGAATATGCCTATGTTTCCATTCAGCACGACCATTTTGTTAGGACGTGCCAGCACAGGAACGATAAGGCTAAGTGCTGTGACGTTGATGGAAGGAGAGAAAATCAAGATCCCTATATTCCATAGCATTATCAGATCGAAAATTTTAATGGTTTTAGAAAATTGGGTTTGGACCATGTTTGCAAAATTGTAATAAAGTTGTTTGAGTTCTGATCGACTTT